ACAACAACCCCAGTACCCACATTCCAACTTCCTTTTTTCCCGGATTCCTTACCAGTCCCTCTCTTACATCCAGCTGGCAACCTGGAAGAGTCAGTCTACCCAGGCTTTAGGTGCCTTATAGTCTCTCTTCCCTTAGTACATGCTTCCAGAGCACATGTTCTTTTCCTCCAGTTTGACGACCCGGCGGTTCGGCTAGTGTGTCCCCCCTTCTTAAGGACCTAGTCGCTCAGTTCTCCGGTCTCAGTTTCTGGTTTCAAATTTAGTCTTTCTGTAGCACCGTCGAAGATCGCTGCTACTCCCAACTCGGAACTTGCCAAACGGGTTTTTGGTAATTCTGGTTTCCTGGATTTATTACGCCGAAGCTCCCATTCGAGATGGTGTGATCAGTTTGCACTAAATTTCTTATATCAGCAATACAAAAATTGCAGTGAAATCAAATAGATCAATGCCCTTATTATCAGGCTCATTATACTAATTTGGAGTTTGAATTACAATAACAAGCTCATATTGAAAATGTTGATGAACTGGTATACTAAAGTTGTTATGAGCTTAATTGTTATCTTTAAGTTGCCTTCTAATGAGTTAAATCTGTTAGTTTTAGTTAGAAAATTTGATATTAATAAATAGGTTTAACCCATTTGTTAATTATAAATTTCTAACTAAAACTAACAAATTTAACTTATTAGAGTTATCATTTTAGTTATTTACTTTTTTTTTTTAATTTATTAAAGATATATCTAAAGGCATGTTTAGTGAATATTTGTATAATAAAATGTATATTGAGTTAACACAACTTGTTGATGGTATTGATGATATTAGAGAACTTTGGATAGTATTATATATTGATCAACAAAAGTGCTATTTCATTGTTCCCTTTGGCAATGCAAGCTATTTGTATATGTGTTTGACACTTGTAAATTATAGTATTATTTGTTGTCACTTTTTTGCCAATTTATTAGATACTATATTGTGAAGAGCTCTCTAGTTCCCAGCTCCAGAAAATATTATATTTTTTTTTTTTCTTTTCTTTTTC